CCGTCCCTCCCCCCGCCACCGCTCTTCCTTGTACCAGGTCCCCCCCCGGTAGACCCCCTCCCCCCTCAGGGTCCTGCCCCTTCAGGTGTGTCCCAGGTAGACGCAGTCGAGCCTGTCGAGGTTACTAGTGACTCTGGTGCTGCTGAGGGTGCTGAGCCAGGGGGTGCTGACTCTGAGGGTGCTGAGCGTGTGGGTGCTACGCCTGGGGGTGCTGAGCCTGAGGGTGCTACTACTGGGGGTCCTGAGCCTGGGGGTGCTGAGCCTGGGGGTGCTACTACTGGGGGTACTGAGCCTGGGGGTGCTGAGCCTGGGGGTGCCACGCCTGGAGGTGCTGAGCTTTGGGGTGCGGAGCCTGAGGGAGCTGGGCCTGCTCGTGTGGCGTCTGGCGGTGCTGAGCCTGGAGGTTCTCCGGGTGCTTCGTCTCGGCGGGAGCCACTCTCTCCACAGGAGCTGCGCTAGTGGTTTGCCCGGCGCTGGAGGCGTGCTGCTGGAGCTGGAGGTTCGTCGGCTGCTGAGGGTGCTGGTGCCGCGGGTCCCGGAGGTGCTCGTACTGGGAGTACTGGAGCTGCTGGGCCTGCGGGTACGACTGGAGCTGGAGCTGCTGAGGGTGTTGGCGCTGAGGCTACTGCTGTCGGTCCTGGAGGCGGTCCTACTGGGGGTGCTACTGGTGCTGCTGGAGGTACTGGAGCTGGAGGTGCTGCTGGCGCTGGTGCTGCCGCTGGGGGTACTGGTGCTGTCCCTGCTGTGTCTGGAGTCGCCGCGCGGCCTAGGCCGTACTTCGTTCCGCTCCTTCAGCAGGTTCTTGGTCTCCCGCCTTCTACTGGTCCTCCTCCTCCCTTAGAGTGTCCACAGCCTGTCCCGTCACAGTTACAGTTACAGCCGGCCTCCCCACTGCCCGCTCCTTCTCCCTACACTGGTCCTACTGGAGGTCTTGCTGAGCGTCGTGAGCCTGCGTCTCGCCCTGCGTCGCCTGTCCGTGCTGCTCGCACTAGTGGTCGTGGTTCGCGTCAGCGTCCTCCTCCTGTCCCTGGCACGCACCGGATGTCTCTGCGTCCGTCCACTGCTCCTCTGCGTGCCCCTTTGCCTTCTCCTCCTGAGTCCTCTCTTCCTGCTCTTCCTGACCCGGAGTCGGACTCTCTTCGTGCTGCCAGTCCTACTGTCACGCGTCTCCTTGCTACTGTTGTCACTGACCCTTCCTTTGAGTCCACTGCTGCGTCTGCCCTAGTTACTGAGCTCGTCGACTTTGCTGCTCGCTGTCGTCTAGACTACGCTGCTAGTCTTGTTGCTGAGTCTGAGTCTGTCTGTCCTCCGTCCGTCGGGGGTGAGTGTGCCCTTGGCACGGACGTCCTTGAGGACAGGCAGGAGGAGTTCCAGTGTTTGGCTGCTGCTTCACCTCATCTCGTGTCCGTACTGCTTACCACTGAGGGAGACCCGGATGCACTTGACATCCCGACTCCGCGCTCTTACGCGGAGGCGATAGAGGGTCCCTACTCTTCTCAGTGGCAGGCAGCTATGGACGCAGAGATGGCTTCCTGGAAGTCCACAGGCACCTACGTTGACGAGGTTCCCCCGCCTGGGGCGAACATCGTCAGTGGCATGTGGATTTTCAGGGTGAAGCGGCCGCCGGGTTCTCCGCCTGTCTTCAAGGCGCGTTACGTGGCTCGTGGCTTCAGTCAGCGGCAGGGAGTTGACTACTTTCAGACCTTCTCTCCCACCCCGAAGATGACCACTCTTCGGGTACTGCTGCACATAGCTGCTCACCGCGACTACGAGCTGCACTCTCTTGACTTCAGCACTGCTTTCTTGCAGGGCAGCCTGCACGAGGAGATCTGGCTGCGTCGCCCACCTGGCTTCACTGGGTCCTTTCCTCCTGGCACCCAGTGGAGCCTCCGGCGGCCAGTCTACGGTCTCCGCCAGGCACCGCGTGAGTGGCACGACACACTGAGGACTACACTTGCGGCTCTTGGGTTTGCTCCCTCTACTGCCGACCCGTCGCTGTTTCTGCGCACCGACACTTCTTTGCCGCCGTTCTACATCCTCGTGTACGTCGACGACTTGGTCTTCGCCACAGCTGACACTGCTGGACTCGCCCACGTGAAGTCCGAGCTGCAGAAGAGACACACGTGCACAGACCTGGGTGAACTGCGTAGCTAACTTGGCTTGCAGATCACCCGGGACAGAGCACGCCGCACCATTACCCTGACTCAGTCACACATGGTGCAGCAGGTCCTTCAGCGCTTCGGCTTCACGTACTCCTCGCCTCAGGCCACTCCTCTGCCTACTCGCCACTCGCTCTCAGCTCTGCCTTCGGATGAGTCCGTAGAGTCGAGTGGCCCGTACCCAGAGCTTGTTGGCTGCCTCATGTACCTGATGACCTGCACACGACCTGACCTTGCATACCCTCTTAGCATTCTTGCACGCTATGTTGCTCCTGGGAGACACAGACCGGAGCACATGGCTGCAGCGAAGAGGGTGTTGTGCTACTTGTGCAGTACGTCGGGCATGGGGCTTGTGCTTGGAGGGCAGAGTCCAGTGGTCCTCACTGGGCACGCAGACGCTTCTTGGGCTGACGACCAGGCTACGCAGCGGTCGTCACAGGGTTACACCTTCAGCCTTGGTTCCGGCTCTGTTTCGTGGCGGGCTACCCACTCGTCTTCTGTTCTCGGCTCCAGTTGTGAGGCTGAGATCTACGCCGGGGCCATGGCTGCACAGGAGCTTCGCTGGCTCACCTACCTGCTGACTGACCTCGGAGAGCCGCCTCGTTCTCCCCCAGTACTGTACGTAGACAACAAGGCCATGCTGGCCTTGTGTCGAGAGCAGAGACTGGAGCACAGAACGAAGCACATTGCTCTCCGCTACTTCCTTGCTCGTGAGCTACAGCAGCGTGGTCAGCTGCGGCTTGCGTACGTGGCCTCTGAGGCCAACACTGCTGATATCTTCACCAAGGCACTTGCGCCTTGTGATCATCAGCGCTTCTGTACTCAGCTGGGTCTTGTGCCTACCTTGCCTCACTTGCTCACCCCTTGACCTTGTTTGTACTGTTGCATATATATATATACACCTGCTCTTGCTTGTCTAGCCTTATATATATATGTAATCCTCCATGTGAACTGGCCTTCTGGCCTTGAACTTGTGCTCGGAATGTGTGGTGACTTTGTGATCCACCCTGAGCTTGCTTTGCTTTGCTTGACTGGTCTTGTGACCCCTTGTTCTCCCCCACTTTGCCTATGGGGGTGTGTCAGATTTATATGACATAGCTACTGTAGGCTATAGTGGGGTAGCACATATGGGGTACAGTTTTCCTAGGGTTTGCATTTGTACCCAACTTTCCCTTAGTCATTTCATTCCTCGTTTCTTCTCAGCCGTAGCCTCTGTAAGACCGTATGTTTTGTTGTTGAGTTGGAGTGATGTTCCTCAGTAGTATCGTGTACGCCATCATCGATTGATAGGTGTACTGCTGCTTCTCATACTGTGTGCCGTTTGTTGGGTATGGCAGGGACCCGTCGAAGAAGCCAAGGATTTGCGCTCCTTCCATCATCAGCTCGAATTCGAACGACCAGGTAAAGAAATCCTTCCCGTCGAAGGGTTTTGTCGTTTGCAGTTTTAGAACGTGCGCGAACTGCGACTGAACTTGTAGTGCGTCCAGCGTTCTCTCTTGTCCCGGTGCAGGTTGTGGTTGTGGCATGAAGCTGACGGAGCCACGCTGGGGCTCCTACGGAGCGAAGGTAGGTTGCTGTTGTTGATTCCCGCGTGCGTAGGATGAGCCATCGAGACTCATGGGCGTCACGTTGTTGTTGTTGTTGCTGTTGTTTGATTGCGCAGGTGCTCCTTGCTGATGCTGCTCGTAGAAGGACATGAAGGAGAAGAACTTCTCCATCATGCTTGGATCGAAGCCCGCGCCTTGGTTTGCGGGTGTTTCAGTAGACCCAGCTGCCGGTCTCGTTGTTGTGCCTTCCTCTGTCTGTAGGCCAGAGGCAGGAGGTGGAGTAGGAGTAGTACCAGGAGAGCCGTTGGAGGAGCTCCTTTTTTTTCTGGTAGACATGTCTCTTGGTGTATTAGGTGTTAAGGAGAAATAATTTTAACCCTAACCAGCTCTCATACCATGTTGGGCTGAGTGCCCCTTAGGATCTTTGGTAGGGTTAAACTCTGGGTAGAGTGATGTAGTAGCGGAAGCGTTTAAATGAAGTCCTTGAACCACCTTGCGCTGGTATGTGAGGGCAAAGTAAGTTGATTAAAACAAGCAAGTACAAAGGTTTATATAAGAGTACAAAGAATACGAAGAGATATAATTAAACTGTTTTACTGTTGCGGTTCGATACAGTGCGACTCGGGCAACTGCTCAATGTCGAGTCAGTTGTGTGTCCTTGCTGTCGCGCTGCATTTGTCAAGTCAAAGGTCGCTGACCTTTGACTTTCGCGTAACCTCCAGCGGTTACTTCAACCTCCGAGGGTTGACTCGCTGGTGCCTCGATATGCTCTGCTTCGCTTGTGCCTTGGTGTTTCGACACGACAGAGGCGCTTAAGATTGTTTGTTCCCAACAATTGGCACTGCTGCTGCTGCTGCTGCTGGTGCTGGTAGTGTGGGAGGTGGAGGTGGGGAGAAGGATGGGGTGGGGGCTGTGCAAGCAGATGCTGCCGTGGGTGGAGTGCAGGAGCCTATTGCAGTGTAGATGACATTGATTCAATCGTTTTGCAGGATGTGTTTCTGGTTCCTAGTTGGGTAGTTTTATAAATTTAATTGCAGTACTCATTGGCCTCTTAGCTTTCTCATATTTTTTTGTTGTTTTTTCCTGCACCACTAACTGGAATCCGGCCTTACTGCAACTCCTGCAATCCCCTGAGCACAGGGAGCTGTGCTCCAACCAGTCTTTAGATTTGCTTCCCATTTTGATTGCAAATGACATGAAAAAATAGCACACGACGAAGACATAGAGCAGTGCATAAAGCCCTTGTTACAGCAGGCCACAGCTAGCCCACACAATGGCGTTGAGGCGAGCCCGGTCAAACAAGCTCCTCCTCCCTCACAGCCCCCTTGAGTCCCTTCACCTCCGTCACCTTCTCCTCTATCTCCCTCCTCAACTCCTCCCTCCACAGCTCCTCCCGACCCCCCTCCTCCTCCTCCTCCGCCTGCAAAAGGGCAGGGATAAATTGATGGGAGGGCAGGGGAGGACAGCGAGGGAGGACAGCGGGGAAGGACAGCGGGGGAGGACAGCGGGGGAGGACAGCGGGGAAGGACAGCGGGGGAGGACAGCGGGGGAGGACAGCGGGGGAGGACAGCGGGGGAGGACAGCGGGGGAGGACAGCGGGGGAGGACAGCGGGGGAGGACAGCGGGGGAGGACAGTGGGGGAGGACAGCGGGGGAGGACAGCGGGGGAGGCAGGGGGTGGAACGGCAGCAGAGGAGAGGGCAGCAGAGAGGGAAGGGGGGCTTGATGGCACGGTCTCGCAGTCACAAAAAGGGTTGGGGCACACGGCCAGGGCAGAGGAAGAAGGGTGTGCGGAGGAGGGAGAACGGCATGTGGAAATCATCAAGGCGCATAAACAATCATGCCACTGCCGCATGGCGAGAACTAATTACACGCACCTCCCCCTGTGTGCCTACATCCCTGGTGTGAAACATCCCCGGCCAAATCCGCCGCCCCCTTCCCCCCCCTCCCAACCCTCCCTCTCCCCTTTTGTGCCAACACCCCCCGTGTGTGAGCAGCAGCTGGGGCATGGCCCTGCGACTGACCCGTTGGTAGATCCAGAACTGGGTGCCGTTGCCGCCCGCATTGCGGTACTCGTCGCTCTCGTAGTACTCGTCCTGTGGGGCACGCGCAGGGGGGAGGGGGGGGGTAGGGGCATGCGCAGGGGGGTGGTGGGGCCACGCGGAGGGGGGGTGGGGACACGCGTGGCGGAGAAGGGAGCACGCGCAAATTACCGTCAAAAGGGATGAGAAGACGGTTGAAATGGCGAAAACGCCAGTGCTACACGCTGCTCCTGCTTCTGCTGATTCTGCTGCGGCTACTACTGCTGCTGGTGCTACTGCTGCTGCTGCCATTAGCATTAATGTATCTCGTGCCCTTCTGTGCGTTCGTGGAGGGCAGGAGATGTGCCGTGCGGGGAAGGGAGGATTTGAGAGACGGGGTGTAACGCGGTCCAAGCGGAGGTGAGAGGGTACGGGGACTAGAACGGAAAGTAGAAATGTAGGAAGAAGGAATGGGAGAAGATGGGGCCGGGGAAAGGGATGGAGGGGAGGGGGAGGGAAAGGAGAGAAATCGCATAGGGGCAATGGGAGGGTGGGATGGAAACGCGGAGGGGATGGGAAAGAGAGGGCGGGACGCGGGGGGCGGGGGGGCGGGGGGACGGGCTGGAGTATGGGGGGAGGCGCAATAAAGGAGAAGCGCGCACGTACGTTCATGGAGCCGAAGACGAGCGCACCCCAGCAGAAGACGCACGTGAAGATCATGTCTGCATGGCGGGGAGGGATGGCAAGGTGAGGGGAAATGGCACAGGGGGGAGTGGATGGGGAGGCACAAGGGGAGGGGGGAGGGAAGGGGGGGAGATATGGAGATAGGATGTTAAGAGCAGGAGGGAATAGAGCAGGAAATCCTGGCCGAAAGCGAACGTTTTCCGGTTTGTTTGGATGGGAACAGGCGTGTAGGAGTAAGCACGCTTGACTGGTTCTCGTCGAGAAGTTAGCCGTACTTTATCGGTTTACCACATCTACGAGCCCAGGCATTTTCAACGATTTGAATGGACCTAATGGGAGCATGAAATTATCGACTTGCTTACGGAAAAAAAAAGAGGGCGCAAAAGCGTACAGAAGCACTTGACGGCTTCAAAGTGGGCTTACAGAAAGCCTTGAAGGCGGGCTCGGCGAAGTGAAAGTCGGAGAGCGCCGTGAATGTGTCCATGGCGTTGGGCAACTGTTGAGTCGACCCACAACTCAACTCGGATCAAAGACGGCTTACGGAAGGCAGTGAGGGGTTGAAAGAGCACTTACAAAAAGCTTTGAAGGCGGGCTCGGTGATGTGGAAGTCGGAGAGCGCCGTGAAGGTGTCCATGGCGTTGGGCAGCTCCGCCTCTACGAACGCCAGCACCAGCGGGAGCGCCGCCACCGGCGCGGAGAGCAGGCGGAACGGCGCGGACGAGGGGCGACGCGCGGGAGCGGCATCGGTGGACTTGGGGGAACGCGCCTGGGGGGGACGACGGAGAGAAGAAAAAGGGAAAGGAAATGGGGGAGAGGGAGACGAGAGAGAGTGGTGGGGACAGGCGGACACGCAGGAGGAAAAATGAGAAGCCTTTTAATGCACTGCCGCTAAGGGTGGTGATCTGAAGCTGGGATAGCGTGCCCTGCTTTGACGGAATCCGGACAAAATGGCACCTGCCCTATTTCCGACATTGTCGTCAGGAGCAAGGAATGGTGAGCTCGAGGTCAGCGATCATGGGAAGAAGCACAGCGGAACTGAGATCAAAACTAGGTTAGAAGGTGGACGGCAAGACGGTGGCAGCGGAGGATGAAACGGTAGCAAAAAAAAAAAAAAAAAACGAAGCGGAAGATTGTGGCAGTAATGGATAAGACAGCCGCAGGGTAGGGCGAACTGGCGACAACTGTGCATTGTGGCTCGGCTTGACGTCACCGACTCCCACTATTGTCTACCAAAGTCGAGCTAGCGAAGCCTGAGCAGCATACAGCAATGGAGGTCGCCAAGGAGGCTCCGTGACGACTAGTACAGTAACGGAGGTCACATTAGCTCTGCATTGACCTCTGGCATATCCAAAACGTCACATCACGAATATTAGATCACTTTGCGTTCTAATCACGCGACCCATTCGGCGAATAAAGGACCTACCGCGCAGACAGCAACCAGGCGTTGGCTTCTGATTGGCCGGACGACGACGCTACGCTGTCCACTGGAAGCAGCGGGAAGAGACAATGAGACTCTTGATGGCAAGGACGCGACAGCCTGGATGCACGCCATTTTGAATTATATAGATGGCGTTTTAGCAGCGGCTCGACAGACGACAGGAGACAAAACGTTGCGGAGCTACTGATTAGGGATTATGTCTGGAGAAGCGAGAAACATAAGTGGCTGGGGAGGAGGGACCGGCAGGGGAGGGTCAACGAGAACGAGTTCCAGGTGACGTGCAGGTGTGGCCCAGATGAGCGCTGACGCTGACGTGGCCGAGCTCGATGTTCTGAAAAGCAGGAACCCCCAATTCCAGACGAATTCGTTTTGATCGAATACAGTGTGAGTGCTCGTACAAATACACGTGAAATACAAGTGAACGACTACTAACACGTGATATACAAGTGAATGACTACTAGCACATGATATACAAGCATAACCCCTCTTAGGATAGCTCCTCATTAGTAGCAAAACTTATCCAGCTACTGTTACATACCATGTTGTCTGACGGCACCTAATATAGGGAATTGACGCTGATGAATGGTGACTAGACCTCAAGCACACACTCTGATAGACAAACAAATATGAAAATCGTCCATCTGCTCGCAAAATGCGACCCTCCTCGAATGTGCAACATACAGCAAATCGGTCACCTGTCAACATTCAAGAAGATGTCAACCGACTCCATCTGCAACTGATCCTGTTGTTGGTCCTGGAAAATGTTGTCTTGCTAGGAAAGCTGATACGCTGGGATCTCTTGCAGTTGATTCTGTTGCTGCTGCTGGTACTGCTGCTGCACTTGAGGTTGAGTATTTTGCTGCTGTTGATGCTGTGGTGGCATTGGTTGCTGGGGCTGCAGCGTTTGCTGAAGTAGTGGTGGCTGCGATGACTGCTGCTGCTGCTGCTGTGGGCTTTGCTGGTATTGATGATAATGCTGGTTAGAGATCAACTGCTGCTGCTGCGTTTTGTGTTGAAGCGATTGAGGCTGTTGTTGGTATTGGTTGTATTGACCTTGCTGTTGGTACTGAATCTGTTGAAACTCCTGCTGATACTGATTCTGCTGTTGTTGCTGCTGCAGCTGGTTCTGCTGCTGGGGCTGTTGTTGTGACTGCTGCTGCTGTTGCTGTAGCTGTTGCTGTTGATGTTGATGCAGCTGTCCTTGATGCTGCTGGAACTGCTGCTGCTGCTGCTGCTGCTGCTGCTGCAGCTGCTGTGGTTGATGTGGCTGAAACTGGCGTGCAGTAGCAGCATGGACCTGTGGCTGCTGCTGGTAACTTTCATGAACCTGTCGCGAAAGGTCGACAGGGCTCTGGTACGAAGGGTTGATGGCATGGGCCACCTTACCAGGAGCCTCAGATATTGAATGACTTCGCATCATTCCTCGAGGCTCAGGGACAGAGCTGCATCTCGTGAGAAAGGCAGGACGACTGGAAGAGATACCCGGCACAGGAGTTGAAGCAGGATGACTCGAAGAGTTCGTAACCACAGGAGGAGCGTAGCTCAAGTGATGGCCAACGTGTGACTTGTCAGAATAAGATGAAGCAATCTGTAATGACGGCGACCTCTGGTGGGATGATACACATGAAACAGAATTCAAGAAATGCATTAGCTGAGATGTTGCAAAACGTCCCAGGAAATTTGTGGGAGTCTGAGTTTGGATTGCAATTTACCTGCAACATGTTAGGTAGACGAAGAAGTGGGACTCTTGGGGTATCATCATCTCCATCCCTCTCCCATATAGCAGCTCTTGGGGTATGCTGAATCTGGTAATGTCCAGGCTGGAGTTGTCCTCCTGCAGTCCCATGGTTACCGGACTGCGTAGGACCGCTGTTCAAACCCACGATGCTCGAGCTGACACCAAGGGATTTGGATGTTGAAGGGGCTCCAGGCGTGGTATTCTCAACTTGCAGCGACTGCCCAGGCTGGAAGGGGGAGGTGAACCGAGGACCAAGGTTGCCACTCAGCTGATATTGCTGAACACGACTGGAAGTGCTGCAGTTTATGCTTTGATTCAAGCCTCCAGAATGAGGCACAGCCTGCTGGTCTTGAGGTGGATGTTGCATCCTGTGCTGCTCTTGCTGCGCTTGTGACTGGAAAGTTGTCGGATTCGTCTGCCATGTTGATGTTGCAGTGGCTCGCCTGCGCAAAACGGAGCGATGAATATGTAAGACACTGGACGAGGGCGTCATCATGAAGCTTACGAAGGGTAAGTGAATGTCTTACGAGTTGAGTCCTGAAGATGGCTCCACTTGTGCTGCGCCCATTGGATGAACTGGGGGAGGTAACGTGAGAGGCGGTAGAGCTGATCGTTCTCCCATTTGAGCACTTGACTCGCATCTTGAGTCATTCTTGCGCTCCGAGACAGAAGCGACTGCATGCTCATCGATATGCCTCGTCTGCGTGATACCACTTTCAGCGATGCTGCTTGTCGCAGCGTTGATCCCGCCTGCTACTTCTGACGCAGGTCCATCGGACGACGCAGCAACAATGGATGCATTAGAGCCTGCAGTGCAATTTTCATTTGTCTTCCGCGACCTATTTCTCCCTCTATGCATGTGACGGTCACAATACTTCTGATCTTTGACAGCCTGCAGAGATAATCAAGCAGATCAAGTGAATCAGGAATGCATTTCAATGCTGACGGCGCGGTTATGGAGGTGAAGTAAGGAATTCATTATGTACCTCTCGGGAACACCGCCACTTCTTTCCATCAGTACGACGGCACCTGTCAGGCTCCAAGTCAAGACGCATCGGGTGCATCCACTCGCCTGTTAAAAGACACGTCATGTGCATGAGGTTTCTGTAGAAGACAACGTAACTCTGAAGTCGATCTACTGAGATTTAGTAATTACCTCTCTCGCTTTCCCGAGGACCTTTGGAGGTATCAGGGGATGCGTAAAGTGACGCAACAAGATCTAGTGGTGGAGAAACACCAGATACGATGTATTTGAATATCAAAGCTTGCTTCTCCAGTTGTTGCCACTGGCTTATTGTGAAAGGGCCTGCGTTAGGATCTGCATGATCCATCAGACAGCAGAAGGTCAGACCTTGGAAGACGGAAAGAGCACGTATCCACGACCCCACGCCTTTAGATCACCACCATTCAAAAAATATTATGAGAAATCTACCTGCAGACACGGTCGAGTCTGGCGAGCCAGCTTGACCATCAGGGCTAATGTTTGTCAGCGGCGGGATTGATGAGAAGACAGGGGTTGTGAGAGGTGGAGGGGAAACCGGAGCTCCCATTATGTGTGGAGAGCGGACTTCAGCGATAGGTGAGAGCGCGGGAAGCTTTCGTACAGGCGAGCACCGAAACGAGCTGGAGGAGCCTGGCGTCCTGGGTGTTGAAGAAGGAGAATAGTCTGCAGACAATGGAGAATCGTTGAGCTTCGGGGTTGCCAGTGACTGGTGATGGTCAGAGGTTAGAGCGAATTGCGGCTGACATGCGATCAGTTGCGGGGAGTTTTGCAGTTTGCCATCGATCATTGGCTTCAGCTCCCTCGGATTGCTTTCAGCGTTGCAGACAAGTGCAGAGCTGTGGATGTTCTCTCCAGAAACTGCAGGGACTTCACTGGAGACTAGCACAGGCAAAGTTTGAGATTGAGGGGGTGATTGACTACACGAAATCTTCACAGCTTGGTGCTCAAACTTCTGGTCCATCTGCTGAACAGGCGCCATTGCAATTCCAGTTACAGGTGACGGTGGCTGAACGAGTAGGCTCATTGAGCTCCAGCCCTAGACTCAACCAGACACCGCTCAGAAAACTAGATATCTGGCACCTATCCTTGAGGTATGAGGCAGAAATCCTCACTTAGTTCTGAAATAAGGTCCTGAATCTCAGAACAGGGATTTCAACAAAGAAGCATGTGAAATATCGCCAGCTGAAACCTTTCACATGTTCACTGCCCTCCCTCAATGTTAGCAGATATGCTCCTGTGTGCTCCCATTTTATCTGACTGGCTGCTGTGCTGGAGTCGTGCTAATGTGCGTACATATGGCCCAGATTGTGTTTCGCCGGTTTGGTTCCGAACCAAGCAGCTTCTTCTCCTGCACATCCACGGCCCCATGTGACATCATACACGATACACACGATGCCCGTTTGACTAACCCAAGGTTGCCTTGCTAAGAGGGCTCTTAAGTGATTCTTGCATTTCGCTAAGCTTTCGTCAATTCGCACTTAGCAAAAAGGTTTTTGTAACTCGCTGTTGACCGTTTGACATGGGTCTCTTCTGTCAAACTTCGGTTTTTGTGGTTCGTATTGCTCAAGGTGCTTATAAATGGGGTGCAACTGCCTGGTACCCTAATACACGGGTGCAGAGTTTCCATCGCGGGCAGAGCAAATTCGCGTGCAGGGGTTGGGCATCTTGTGTAATCATGGGCCATGGCCCCTTCGCACCAAATCCTCATCATTTGTGTCCCCCAAGCCTATCTGTATAACCAGCAAGTCGCATGATTTGGTATGGGTTCACTTTTCAGAAGCCAATCATGCTTCGTTGTCTAAAAGCCGCCAGATCGATTGGACAAATTGTTGAAGAGCACATCTGGAAGTTGTCAGACCCAAGCATCTCCAAGCCTTTCGTCTGAGCTTGACGAACCACTGAGATCAGCTTTGAGATGCGCGTGCCTCATTTTCAGGCTTGATGGTCGCTTGAAATGTGGTTGGTGGTTCTTGGAAGGGATAGAGGTTCAGTCTCTCCCCGCACTGTTGGAGCTGTTCAGAACCTAAAAGGCGGAAAGGGAGTGGCTGGACGCCTGGAGCTCAGTTACGCGTCTACCAATCAACGAGTCGTCGAGTTCCTCAGCCAGGAATGCTGCCGACTTCTGTGGCGGGTCTACCCTCCCGCCTCAACTTGACGGAAAAAGTGAACGTCTTCTCCGTCCCCAATCCCAAGGTGCCTTCTCTGACAAGCGAATATCTGTCACGAATTGGAGCAAAGCGCACCGTTGAGGTGGTCTACGATTTGTCGTACATGTAATTTGAACAGATTTGGAGCATGGTGCGAGTGTCAGTCGAATGGGATTCACGTGGCTGAAGGGTGGCTGGAGACTGGTTGAGACAGCTGACCGATGTT